CAAGGAACCAGGCCAGGGCGGTGTTTGCGACCGGGCAATAGTCGAACGTATGGACGGATGACAGAAGCGCTGAATATGCGGGCGGCGGGGGGTAAGGGGGGACGGGGGAAGGAGCAGGCAAAATGGGCATGAGAGAGCGAGAGCTCGGTACAGATCACAAGGAACAAAAAGAAGCGACCAGGCCGGGAAACAGAGCAGGCTCCGCTTTAGAGAAGTCAACCAGGCAAAGACAAATCGTGCGAGAGACCACGCAAGACGAGAGGGGGCCGAAGAAGGGTAATCCATGCTGAAGGGTCAGATATGAGGCCAATACTCGGAACATAAATACTCGACACACGACACACGACACTGGGAGGCCACATCGACGGTGAATGGAGTCAAAGATCGCCAGACTGCACGAGAGGAGACCGCTAATTAATTATACAGTAATAGTTGGCAGGTCACAACTTAAAACCTGCGACCTGAATAATTCATGTTACAGCTGATTATACAGTAATAGTTCTGGTTACAGCTGAATTAATCAGGTTACAGCTGATTATACAACAATAATTCGCAGTTCACAGCCGAGAGTACTGCCACGTGTGTTTCCAAGTTTTCTTCAGGTCAGTGTTTCCACAGCTTTGCACGTGGTCGCACTGAGAGCCAGTGCTTATTTCATATTCGCGGCATGGATTACAGGAGAAGAGCTGCAAAAAAATCAGAGGGGGAGGAAGGAAATGGAAGATGGGGAAAGCACAGCCCCTGAGTGTATTGAAGCACAAAAACGGAGCAGGCAGCATGAGCAGAATGTATGCAAGAGGCAAAATCACCAAACAAAAAAGGCAATGAATACTCTTCTTTACTATTTGATTTATACACTCACTCTTCTTTACTCTTTGATTTATAAACTTACTCTTCTTTTGAGAGGATCCCGACAGTCTGAAAGACACCAGGCAACTTACAGGATTGCCGTACGTGATTACCGACATGGTCTCCGGCACAGAAATAAATCAAGAACGCCCGGGTGCTTAACCCCTCCGATGTAAAAAGCGGATCCTGAAAGGCGTGGCTGTATCAGCTACGTAAACGATGTTCCTCTCTCTCTCTCTCTCTCTCTCTCTCTCTCTTCCCCCTAGACGTGGCACAGCTATGCAAACCACGATCCATTCCACTCTCTCTCTTCACCCTACAAGACGTGGCACAACTATGCAAACCATGTTCCATTCCACTCTCTCGTTCCATTCCACTCTCTCTTCCCCCTACAAGACGTGGCACAGCTATGCAAACCATGTTCCATTCCACTCTCTCTTCCCCCTACAAGACGTGGCACAGCTATGCAAACCATGTTCCATTCCTCTCTCTCTCCCTCTCTCTCTCTCTCTCGTTTACGTTTTTTTTAAGAGCAATAGAAAATACCGAAAGAGAGGGACTTGAACCCTCGGTAAACTCAAGTTTACATAGCATTTCCAATACTACACCATCGACCACTCGGACATCTCTCTCTCTCTCTCTCTCTACAAGACGTCGCACAGCTATGCAAACCATGTTCCATTCCACTCTCTCTCTCTCTCCCCCCAAGGCGTGGCTCAGCTATGCAAAACATGCTCCATTCCACTCTATCCCTCTCTCTCCCCCCAAGGCGTGGCTCAGCTATGCAAACCATGTTCCATTCCTTTCTCCCTCTCTCTCTTTCTCTCCCCTCTCCCTCTCTCCCCCCCCCTCAGCGTCTGTGATCTCTCACCCAAACTTCAGCTCACTTCTCCTTCGCCCATCAAAATCTACTGCTCCCACCTTTTGATCAACACAACCATAGCCATCCACATAATTTTCACACCACCAACTTCCCACCGCCATCGTTCTCGCCAGACTACAATGGACATGATCAACACAACCATGGCAATCCACATAATTTCCACCGCCATCGTTCTCGCCAGACTACAATGGACATGATCAACACAACCATGGCAATCCACATAATTTTCACACCACCAACTTTCCATCTCGCCAGACTCGATGGACATGATGCGACTCAACCCACGATATTTTTCTAGCCAGACTAACAATGGAGACAATGCGACTCAACCCACCACATCTGTGCTGGGAATTGGCAGTATGCCCGAGCGGTCACTATCAAACGTATGATGTCTGTTCAACTCTCGATGCCGATGACTCACTTCCAGATCCGGATTCGCGGCATTGTGGGATGAAAACGCTGAATTGCGGACCATACAGGACGAAGCAACCAACTCCGGTGCTCTTTCCTCTCATCCAATTCAGACACTAATTTAGCTGGAATTCGCGAAGGATTACTCAAAGAAACTGCACATTCATTTCTGCTTCGCAGTAGACGGAAAGCTTGAGTAGTGGTGTACAAAACGCCACACCATCCTCCCTGTAATTCACGTTGGGCGATGCCAGCGTGTGTACAACCGTCATATAATCCTCCTTGCAGTCACCTCATTCTCTCTCGCTCCATGGACAAAACGACCGTCCATTTCTCTTATGTTCTTCTTTACAACGCTTCTCGCATTTTGATAAATCGCTACTTTCTGCACTCAATAGATCAGATCATTTGGCGGGAAGTGATGTTTCATCCTGCGTCCAGCCTCGTGAATTTTCCTCCCCCCTGCGGCACTCCGCAAAGCCTGATCACACACCTTACATTTATCTCCTATCTTCTTCAAATCACCACCATGTATTTCTCCCTTCACCCACCACTATTTGCCGTCAGCTACGCACTCAACGCACTGCTAAATAGACCACCACAAGGACGCAGATCAGTAACTGTAACACTTAGCCAGCCGGAAGTCACACTTCCGAGGCTCCGATTTAGTACTGTAATTCGCAATAACAATTCCCCGCCGCTCGTCCAGGTCGTCTTCGTGATCTCTTAAACTAGGACCGCCGCTCGTCCAGGTCGTCTTTGTGATCTCTTAAACTAGGACCGCCGCTCGTCCAGGTCGTCTTTGTGATCTCTTAAATAGGACGGAATAGTCAGTGTTCTCACGATCTGAGCGCTTGAGATCAACGAACTGAAGGATAATTACTTATTTCGGTCTGAGCAGGCAAATGAAAGGCACAATTTGTGGAGGTGACTGTACTGAATCAAGTTGCCTTATGAGTTATTACTCTCATTGGAGGAATAGCCCATCTCCGTACGAAAACTAGCAATACACCGCTCGGTAGACCAAAGGTTGATCCATTCGTGACGCTCTACGTCGTAGATCAGTTACCATGAACTTCAAGGCCAGAAACAATGCGCCCGCCCATACAAAACAACACCATACTGCTTCGTCAATCGCTTCGGTCACTAGCCCCAAAAAGAACGCGGCCGTAGGACATCACTTCTTTGCACCGAGACTGGGTGTTCCTCCAACGAGTGATTCAACTCGATTCAGCACAATCACCTCCACACATTGTGCCTTTCATTTGCCTGCTCCGACCAAGATCATTATCCCTTCAGTTCATTGATCTCAAGCGCTCAGATTGTGAGAACACTGACGATTCCTTCCGCGATTAAAAAGCGCTTACAAAGATGACCTGCACGAGAGGACCCGGATTCGTCATTTCGCATTAATTAAATCACAGCCTCGGAACTGTGCGACTTCAGCAGTAAGGGCATATAATATACTCTCACACTCAGTTTTCCTGGATGTTTCGTTTCTCACCAGATCGCCAACCTTTGTCCAGAAGGAGTTCAAGTGTTAGAACAATTAGTAAATTGCACAGTTGACTCGGCGGAAAGAGATCTGGCAACAAATTATACATTCACATTCATTCATTCATTCATTCGTCGCTAATGACTCCATCAATCAGCCTACCAGTTGATTCCCGCCGGTCACGAACTCCGTTCCCGCCGGCCAAACTAATCACCCGTGTCATCATATACTGACCGAGTCTCCAGCTTCGGACTGATGGACCGTAGTGCGGGAACATCCTGTCCAGCGATCCCACTTCAATAGCAACAAACATTGTCAATCCGTTCGACACCACTTTAGCCATAGCCTTTTGCTGCAACTGATCAAAAAATGTATCCCATATCTGCCAGTATCTATCTTATCAGCATTCATAATATCATCGCCTCCCATCATCGTCATCGAAGCGCGGCCATTCGATAGACATGCATATAAATATACATGCAATATATTAAACACATATTTTTACATCGACTGGTTACATATCATCTGAGATTGCCGACACCCCGAGCCAACATTAATCAACGGAGGCAGTAGGACGAAAAAAAGATAGCGAATCCTCATCACCAACGACTGCCATGCTTCTAATCGGCAGCGACGAGGGGGTATCTCCACATACATCTGACGGTAGCAGTCTCGGGAATCCAGAGGGTAGCAAGGCCGCGCCAGTATCGTCTTCCCCCCTCATTTTGGGTTCACAAAAAAAAGGAAATAATTGTACACATTCGTTATCAGGATGCGTTATGTTCGGGGGAACACGGTAGCCGCTTGACGCCGGAATTCCATGCCTGTGACTGTCAAACAGAACTTCTGGATACGCGAATGATATGATTCCCAGCGGAACGCACACAGGCGTCCAGATACGCGTTCTGACTGTGGCAAATTTCGAATTCCAGACGCGCATTTCCCGCCTTCTCCCAAAAAGAAGCCAAGGGCAGAATTCTGAGGGCAATACACTAGCTCCACTCTCACTCACAGCGATTCATGGACACCCCACAAAAATATACCCTCACTCTTATTGAGCCGCCTAAATGCTCTCCGGCGATCGACCCCAAGTCCGCCTAAAATGCTCTCCACCGCATTCCCGGAAGCCATCGAGATCAATCACACGTTTAGTGGGTTCCCAAAAAAGGGCCTAGCTACCCAGCGCACGTCGCTCATGCAACTGTTGCTAATCAAATCATGAGTTCGAATCTTGATACAATCAGATGGATACACAAACTGAGGTCTTAGCCATTCGCGATAGAAAGAACGGACCGACTTAGGTGCGATCAATCCCAGCCGACCATCCATACAAAAGACCTCAGGACAATCACTCGCTTACAATTCCTGACGGAATCCTGACGACAGGCTTGACAACAGCCGACCATCCATACAAAAGACCTCAGGACAATCACTCACTTACAATTCCTGACGGAATCCTGACGACAGGCTTGACAACTTCGCGCGCCTCATATTGACTCGTTAACTATTCAATGTGTACGAGTGATCACCGATCTCCACGAACGACTGAGTCGCCGTCAGCCCTTCCATTGCTGTCGATCATTCAGTTCCCTCAAACAAACGCGGCCGGGGGTGATCCGTCTCTCTCTCTCTCTCTCTCTGTGTCTGTGTGTGTGTGTGTGTGTCTCTAGCGCGCGCGCACAACCACACGTACACACTGGTTGATAAAGACGGATCTCAACGCGATCTAGCTGACGTTTGGGCGTCGGACCCAAGAACAAACAAATAACGACCCCGTGCACATCAGCTGGTGATTAATTACAGAGTGATAACTTGTGATTAATTATAGCGGTGAAGAGTTACCACCATAGAAGAATTGCTCGGACACAGCTGGTGATTAATTACAGAGGGATGACTTCTGATTAATTATAGCGGTGAAAAGTTACCACCATAGAAAACTTGCTCGGACAGAAACTTACGCTCTGAGTTCAAACACGGAAACAACCATTAACACCATGGGCGCATGTAATACATAAATGAGAAAACAACGACATTCACAAAAGAAGCCATGTCATACATAAATGAGAAAAACAGCGACATTCACAAAAGAAGCCAGCGGGCAAATCTTCTTCGTTTTTCCTTCAACAGAAAGAACGGATCGCCAAGAAAAGTGTTACACTAACTACACAAAAGATAGGGATGATGATCGACATTGGAAGAGAGAATCGGCGATCTGACAAAACGAGTGCGCGTGCGAAACCTTAATGCTTAAAAGTCAAACAGTCGACGATCAGTCTCACAACACCTGAAAGGCAGGGATAACCAAAGATTGAGGTGTAGTGGGAAGACCTGACATCCTAGTAGAAAGATCAGCTGTGGAATAACCCACCTCGTCATCGGCGGCTGAGGCACGGACTAGTGTGAAAAGCCGTAGAGGGCCTCCCGTCGTGATGGAGGTGAAATTACTCCCTTTGCTGCGCGATGTGTGCCTCTGCGTGGGAAACCTTCTCCTCGCTGCCCACTTATCTCCACCGCCAACGAACAGCCCCTCGCTGGACTTCGTGACCGCCTTCGCCGCTGATAGAACTGACCTCGGATATTGACGAGACGCTACTGGGCGCCGCCTGATTCGCAGCTGACATGCCGACCGGCCGCACGGTGGCACCCAATTATGTGACGACAGCGACTGAGAGGACGGGATTGTGGAGGGACGAGAAGAACGCAAGGAAGATGAAGATGTGAGCGGAGAGAAGCAAAGAGCCGAAGAGGAGGAAGAAGCAGAAGAGGGAAAGGTCGAAGACGACCTGGACAACAAGCCTTGACTAACGTGAGGAGCGAGACCAGCTGACGCGGCAGGTACTGTTGCCGCCGCCATAGCTGCGCTCGCCATGGCCAGCAGCGAGACGACAAGCGCCTTAGAAGGCAGGGCAAGCCAAACGAGCGAGAAAGAACGGCTCGCTTCAGAAATCTCTGCCGTTTCCTCTTGGCCTGACCTTTTCTCTCCGGCGACTCAGACGAATGCCGCCAGCTTCGTCGAGACCGGATCCCGAAGTACCTACCGTTCTCCTGTCTCCACCCGGTGGGATGCTCCGCGCCTAGATGCTTCCCGCTTTCTCGCGTTCCGTTTCTTCCCCCAGCTCCACCACCTCTGAACGGCCCGCCAACGTTTGGTGGCGGCCCCACAGCTCCCGCCGTCACTACGCCGCCCAGACCAGTCTCGTTTTTCCTAATGGCTCGTCACGTGAAAGCCTGAAAGAGTACTGCAAGCTGGATATGGCCTCCCCTCCCTCCCTTTCTTGCAGCAATAGATCGACCGCAGGTTGGATCGTAACAAGACAGGAGGGGGGCGGAACTCAGACGAACAGAAGGCGACAAGCGAGTCGGCAACCCCGAGAGAAGTATCCCTCTCATCAAAAGAGACGAGCGACCAGCAGACGGCCAGTCGTACCCACCGTGTGCGCAGCACGATGTCACACAGAAGGATGCTTTCCAAATAAAGCAAACGGGTCCCGATCCGTTAGAAAAACTACGGCACGGGCGCGGCCGCGGGAGAAGATGGGGGTGGATGGGGGTGGAACAGCAAGAAACGAACGGTCGATGTTTCACTGTTTCCACCCACGACGAGCCCTCAACAGTAGCACAAAACTCAACAGTAGCACAAAACAGTAGCACAAAATTGAAGGTGAAAAGAAACTGTGAAGGCCAACATTCCAGAAGCGACCATGCAGGTGAGACAAGTTGCAACGAAAAGACGGAAAGCACGGGTGGGGAAGGAAAGAGGTCTGCGCAACTACCGAATCTACGTGTCATCCGTTACAAATTGGAACGTGGTGCACTGCGAAAGCGATCCCCAAGGAGTACGCAATCCGTCGGATGTTAGCAGCCCGTAGGGGATGCGTTTAGACACTTGAGGCTTTTTCTTTTTGTATTTTTTTCTTCTTTTTGTTCGCAGCCCTTAGGCTGCGGTATAGTGGGCTTCCGCGTCTGTGTCAAGGTGTCGCATTTTTGGCGGCGGGCTTAGGGGGCAAAAAAATTTGGGGGACCGGTCCTTGACAAAACTGCGGACTACCTATAGCTAGCTCTGCTAGAACCGGAACTTTTGGAAAAAGGAAGGACCGGTCCTCGGGTGGAAGTGGACCCCAAAAAAAACTGGGGGGCGTTGGACCGGACCCCGGGTTGAAGCGGACCCCCAAAAGAAGTGAGAGCATGTGAATTGTCTACCGCGTGGGCGCGGGGAACGCAGCCCTAAGGTAGCCAAATCAATGAGACTAAGAGCTAACACAAGAGAGAGAGAGAGAGAGAGAGAGAGAGAGAGAGAGAGAGAGAGTTTTGTTCAATTTTACAATGATTTTTTTTTTTTTAAATAATTTTTTTGTTGGGAGGATGACAACAAACTATAGGAGCAGTCCAATTTTCAGCATTTGCCACATATTCTTTTCCCTTGGCTGACACAGAGAGAGAGAGAGAGAGAGACCGAGAGAGAGAGACACACAGAGAGAGAGAGAGAGAGAGAGAGAGAGAGAGAGAGAGAGAGAGAGAGAGAGAGAGAGACAGAGAGAGAGAGAGAGAGAGAGAGAGACAGAGAAA